CCCGCCCACGCTCCCGCAGCTGGAACCCGAGCGCAGCGCCGCGCTGGAGGGGAAATCAGCGTCAACAGCGGCAGCAGCAGCAGCAGCAGCGATTCGCACCCCGGAGGCGCAACAACGGGCCGAACCGCTCCGAGTACCAGCAATCTGATGACCCGCTCTTCACAGTCAAGGTCAGAGCTTTACACAGACTGCTGAAGGCCATGCATCACCTGGCCAACGTGGCGTGGGATGACCGCAATCCGCCTGCCATCCAGCGGATTGCGGATAACCTGGCTGCCACCATCAAGCCGGCCCTCCCCAGCCCCAAAACGATGGACCTCATTGATGGGAATGCCAGAGAGTGGGCGTGGAACACCATCCTCATCCTCCGGCAGCACTATGAGGATGTGCTCGAGGCTGAGAAGCGGTCCCTCCTGGCCTCGGCGGCGACCTTCTGGCTCCTCTTGAGGTGGCGGTCAAGTGGGCTAGACGCAACCTGGGCAGGAGGTTCGACCCAGAAACCGCTGATGAGGTCCAGACTTACCTGGCGATGAGTGAAGATGAGGAAGCCTCTTCATCCTCCTCTGCCTCCTCTCGCTCCTCCGACTCTCCTCCACGTCCCTGCCCGCCGGCTGCAGCCCTCCGTCCCCACGCTCATCTGAAAGCGACGCAGCAGAGCAGGAAGACCAGGCTGTCGACACGGCGGAGAACCTGCAGGACCCCTCCCACCCCCCTCGACCACACTCAAGAACCTCACCTCCTGTGCCCCCTCCCTCTGCATCCCCCCGCCCCGTCATGGCCTCCGCAGCCACCATGACGGATCCTCTTCACGGCGGGTGGACACCTCCGGGCTCAGATGTTGAGGACAGCGGGAGACGTCGCCCCCCACTCTACCTGCTGAGATCATCGCTCCACTCCCTCAGTCAGCAGAGATCCTCCAGCTCTTCAGGGACGACCACCTCTGCATCTCAGACGGCTCCTCCGGCGACCTCTCCAGCTGTTCCTCCTCCTCTTCCTCCAGCTGCTCCTCCGGCAGCTCCTCCCTCCTCTTCTCCTCCCTCAGGGGGAAGGGCAGCAGATTCTGCCACTGATGAGGTGCTCAGCGGCATCTCTGACCTCATCCAGGAGGAGGTGAGCAGACATCGGTCTGCAAGAGTAATCCCGCCTTCTCCCTCCCAGGCCTCCAGAGCCACACGACCCTCGCTGAGGCCGAGGATGGCCCCCCTCTGCCGCCGACTACAGATCAGCACGCAGCGGAGACTCACCTTCAGCAGCAGCAGGGTGACGACACCGGCTCCAGCTGCGTCCTCCGGCACCAGGGCCCACCGCTCCTACACAGGCACAGATCACAGTTGCGGCTAGACAGGTGGGGAGCCTCAACAAAACCAGGAACTGGTCACTTGACCTCAACAAAATGTCATCCTGGGTGACTCAAATGTGGCCAAGTTTCCGGCCTGGAATAACCCCAACCTGCAGGTGGACAGCTTCCCTGGTGCCAAGTGGAGGCACCTCACCCACCTGTTCGACAAGGCACCTGTCTTCGCTGACGTGGAGCGGCTCATCATCTCTCTGGGCATCAACAACAGGGCCCAGAGGGACAAAACGTCGGCTGTGAAGGAGATGAGAGCAGCGCTGAGAGCAGCCAGGGTAAAGTGCCCGAATGCTGAGATTTTTATCCCTGCGATAAATTTCTCGCCGGCACTACCCGTCCGTGAACAGGTAACTCTCACTCACCTGAACATGCACATCACACAGCTGAACCGCTGCATCCCGGCACTGGAGAGGCGGGCCTTCACAGTGGCTAGAGATAACGTCCACTGGACCAGGGCCACCGCTGCTCGCATGCAGAGCCACTGGAGCGAGTGGCTAAAATAGATTGCCCTAAGAGCCTGCAAAGGCAGGATGGGCACTCTCAGATTGTAAATAATAATATTTGTAATCTTTCTAAAACATTTACACTTACTGATGCACAGTGTTCTCTTTTAAATAAAGGTTTGACTTTTATTCCCACTCAGGGTAATAATTCTTTAAAGAATGTGAAAATGCAAATGAGGTATGACCTGCAAAAATACCATAGAAGGATAAAATTGGCCATCTACTACAAAGATGTTTGGTAAAAATGTAAATAATGAGAACTTACCTTTCATGCCTGAATCCGACTGGTCTCCTCCAATCGCTTCTCTTCCTCCTGAGGTGGACAAATTAATTTCAAAGGACCTAAACTATTTGGATTATGATTTTAAATTTAATAAAACTACCCTAACCTAAATTTGAATGAGAGAAAAGCTCTAACTAATGATCAATAAAAACATCATTATAAAACCTGCTGACAAAGGAAGCTCTATTGTCATTCTGGACAGAGAGCAGTACCTGTGGGAGGGATACAAACAATTACACAATGAAACCTATTATAAAAAATTAGATTCTCCAATTTATCCTGATACGGCCCCCCTAATATCCAAAATTTTAGAAAATCTTCATAAAAAGAAATTTATTAACGCTAAACAAAAAACTTACCTGCGTGGTTCTCCTGAACCAAGGGCCAGACGGTTTTACCTGCTCCCTAAGATCCATAAAGAGCCCGGAAAATGGAGCAAACCGTTCGAAATCCCTCCTGGTAGGCCCATTGTCTCCGATTGTGGGAGTGAGACCTACCAAACAGCAGAATTTATTGATCATTATTTGTATCCTCTATCAATTCGGCACCAAAGTTACATCAAAGACACATATGATTTTGTGGAAAAAGTCAAATTAATTTCTCTACCTCAGGACTCTATTTTATTTACAATTGACATAGACAGTTTGTACACAAATATTGATATAGATGAAGGAATTGGCTGCATTAAAAACATATTTTTGAAATATCCAGATTCGAGGAGGCCAGATCGAGAACTTATACAGTTGCTGGAAATAAATTTAAAACGCAACGATTTTGTGTTTGATGGCCAATTTTTCCTGCAGGTCAAGGGCACGGCCATGGGCAAAAAGTTTGCACCGGCATATGCAAACATTTTTATGGCCGAGTGGGAAGCGGGTGCCCTTAATACGTGCGGAAAGGCACCTCTGCACTATTATCGGTACCTGGATGACATCTGGGGGGTCTGGACCCATTCTGAAGCCGAATTTCAGGAATTCCTCCAGCACCTAAATACACATAATCCATCCATTACAGTAAAGTCCACTACCAGCGTTAAAGCGGTCGACTTCCTGGACACCACCACATATAAAGGACAAAATTTTGACACGACACACAAATTGGACATTAAAGTTTTTTTCAAACCTACAGATACACATGCTCTATTATTTAAGACCAGCTACCATCCGAGGCACACGTATGCTGGTCTTATAAAATCACAACTCCTCAGATTCCATAGAATTTGCTCACAGAAAACAGACTTTGAGGAGGCAACTAGGATTCTGTTTTCTGCTTTAAGTAAGAGAGGATATTCCAGATCTTTCCTGAGAGCATGCAGGAAGAACTTCCTTGAGTCCAGACCCCCCGATTCATCACCTATGATCCCCCTGATCACTACATTCTCCTCCTCAGCCGGACAATTTGTGCATAACATCAAGCAGAATTTCACTAAATTCCAATCTGAAACGTCTTTGCTACAAAATCACAGAATAATTGCGGCCTACAAAAGAAACAAGAACCTGAGGGATTTCCTCATCCGTGCTGAGGTTCGACCTTTGAATGCACCAAAGGTCAGAGGTCAGGGTGGATTCTTCAAGCAGCTGCACTGGGTACAAAACAGATTTAAAAACACAATTTTCAAATTAGACCCATCAGGAAACCCCAAATCAAAAATGTGTTTATTTAATTACCTGCCAAATTTGTAAGATCCAGTATGTGGGTGAGACGGGTAACAGCCTCCTTACTCGTTTCACCCAACATAGATATAACATTCAAAAACTAAAAAAGACTCACGTACCCTTAGTGCAGCACTTCATCCGCCATGGCTGGGATGCACTTTCAGCCTCGGTGCTGGAGTGCGACCCAGCCTGGTCTTCAGCCCAGAGGAGAAGGGCTGAAAGATTATGGATCCAAAAGCTGGAGACTCGGATCCCTAGGGGTCTGAACGAGAGATAGGCCTCGCGTAGAGGCTCCCAGCAGAACGTGCCCGTGCACACAGGGGCCGGGGAAGAGGGTGAGGGGGAAGGAAGGGGTTAAACTTGTTTGACCTCTGACCTTTAACCCTGAACCCAAACCCTGACCCCAACCCAAACCCCAATCCTTACCTGCCAGTGCCTTCTGCTTGGGATGTCCAGCGTTGTCCTTCCTCTCAGTGAGGACCACGATGGTGATCCTGCTCCTGTGGAATAACAAAAAGAACATATTAATCCTCTAAAACACCTAAATTCCTAGATTAATGCCTAAACCTAACCACCTACCTTCAACAACAATTGATCCCCATTTTTCATTGACTATTAGTCATTGATTATTAATATTGCAATTTGATTTTATGCCCTTCCCCTACCAGTTTACCCTAAACCTAACCTCCGAGAACCCTTGCCTAAACCTAACCACCTTTCCTCTATTAATAACCCTACCATTTGTAACTCCAATTAATCCCCACCACTTACCAAAATTCACTGTGCATCAGTAAAACACTCCTGTAAATATATATACTGTAAACATTGTATTATATTATAAAGGCTACTCACAGCCAATACTCTTGTAAATACCTGTAAATAATGTAATTTTGTAAATACTGTAAATATATTTTTTTTCCTGTATTATATTGTGTGTATTCTATATACAGTATTCCTTATGTATATTTGTTCATTGTAGTTTAAATGAAAACTGTTCAGGTTGCAATATCCTGTTCTGCCAGCAGAGGGAGGCAGCGCAGGTAAACAAGATCAGCTGTTCCACTGCGCCCCTCCCCTCCTGTGTACGCATGACGTTGCAGCCTGTACCTAACGGGCCAATCAGAGCCACTGGCTTGTAAATTGTTATTTGGTTCGAAATTTGAAACCGGTGTGCTATATATAGTGTTTTTCTAACTGATCTCGTCAGTTGAGACAGCAGACGGCCTGAAGAAGGTTGATTCCGACCGAAACGTCGCGTCTCGTTTGCTGTCTTTGTTCATCTGTTCGTTCGTTATTAAATTGCCAGACGGCAAAAAACGAAGTTCAGTTTCTTCTCTTTTTTAATTTTAGCACACTTTTATTTTACAAGTCAGTTTAGTTTAATAATTTTTATAATTTTTATTTTTTCTAAAAACGTTTTCCCATGACTTGGGATTTTTACGAGGAGCCAGATGATGGCTGGACCACGGTCCAGTACTACCGCGGCAGGCAGCGCACCTGGCAGCCGAGAAGCCGCGATCGCTACGCGCAACGGGGCTCACAAAACAACCGGGGCCCTCCACCACAGAACCGGAGACGCACCTACGCCTCCGTGACCCGAGACCGCACGGTGAGCCGCAACAGGGGCTCAGGACCCCCCCGGAACCGCTTCCAGCAGCAACAACGGCCCCGCCCACGCTCCCGCAGCTGGAACCCGAGCGCAGCGCCGCGCTGGAGGGGAAATCAGCGTCAACAGCGGCAGCAGCAGCAGCAGCAGCGATTCGCACCCCGGAGGCGCAACAACGGGCCGAACCGCTCCGAGTACCAGCAATCTGATGACCCGCTCTTCACAGTCAAGGTCAGAGCTTTACACAGACTGCTGAAGGCCATGCATCACCTGGCCAACGTGGCGTGGGATGACCGCAATCCGCCTGCCATCCAGCGGATTGCGGATAACCTGGCTGCCACCATCAAGCCGGCCCTCCCCAGCCCCAAAACGATGGACCTCATTGATGGGAATGCCAGAGAGTGGGCGTGGAACACCATCCTCATCCTCCGGCAGCACTATGAGGATGTGCTCGAGGCTGAGAAGCGGTCCCTCCTGGGCCTCGGCGGCGACCTTCTGGCTCCTCTTGAGGTGGCGGTCAAGTGGGCTAGACGCAACCTGGGCAGGAGGTTCGACCCAGAAACCGCTGATGAGGTCCAGACTTACCTGGCGATGAGTGAAGATGAGGAAGCCTCTTCATCCTCCTCTGCCTCCTCTCGCTCCTCCGACTCTCCTCCACGTCCCTGCCCGCCGGCTGCAGCTCCTCCGTCCCCACGCTCATCTGAAAGCGACGCAGAGCAGGAAGACCAGGCTGTCGACACGGCGGAGAACCTGCAGGACCCCTCCCACCCCCCTCGACCACACTCAAGAACCTCACCTCCTGCTGTGCCCCCTCCCTCTGCATCCCCCCGCCCCGTCATGGCCTCCGCAGCCACCATGACGGATCCTCTTCACGGCGGGTGGACACCTCCGGGCTCAGATGTTGAGGACAGCGGGAGAACGTCGCCCCCCACTCTACCTGCTGAGATCATCGCTCCACTCCCTCAGCGTCAGCAGAGATCCTCCAGCTCTTCAGGGACGACCACCTCTGCATCTCAGACGGCTCCTCCGGCGACCTCTCCAGCTGTTCCTCCTCCTCTTCCTCCAGCTGCTCCTCCGGCAGCTCCTCCCTCCTCTTCTCCTCCCTCAGGGGGAAGGGCAGCAGATTCTGCCACTGATGAGGTGCTCAGCGGCATCTCTGACCTCATCCAGGAGGAGGTGAGCAGACATCGGTCTGCAAGAGTAATCCCGCCTTCTCCCTCCCAGGCCTCCAGAGCCACACGACCCTCGCTGAGGCCGAGGATGGCCCCCCTCTGCCGCCGACTACAGATCAGCACGCAGCGGAGACTCACCTTCAGCAGCAGGGTGACGACACCGGCTCCAGCTGCGTCCTCCGGCACCAGGGGGCCCACCGCTCCTACACAGGCACAGATCACAGTTGCGGCTAGACAGGTGGGGAGCCTCAACAAAACCAGGAACTGGTCACTTGACCTCAACAAAAAATATGTCATCCTGGGTGACTCAAATGTGGCCAAGTTTCCGGCCTGGAATAACCCCAACCTGCAGGTGGACAGCTTCCCTGGTGCCAAGTGGAGGCACCTCACCCACCTGTTCGACAAGGCACCTGTCTTCGCTGACGTGGAGCGGCTCATCATCTCTCTGGGCATCAACAACAGGGCCCAGAGGGACAAAACGTCGGCTGTGAAGGAGATGAGAGCAGCGCTGAGAGCAGCCAGGGTAAAGTGCCCGAATGCTGAGATTTTTATCCCTGCGATAAATTTCTCGCCGGCACTACCCGTCCGTGAACAGGTAACTCTCACTCACCTGAACATGCACATCACACAGCTGAACCGCTGCATCCCGGCACTGGAGAGGCGGGCCTTCACAGTGGCTAGAGATAACGTCCACTGGACCAGGGCCACCGCTGCTCGCATGCAGAGCCACTGGAGCGAGTGGCTAAAATAGATTGCCCTAAGAGCCTGCAAAGGCAGGATGGGCACTCTCAGATTGTAAATAATAATATTTGTAATCTTTCTAAAACATTTACACTTACTGATGCACAGTGTTCTCTTTTAAATAAAGGTTTGACTTTTATTCCCACTCAGGGTAATAATTCTTTAAAGAATGTGAAAATGCAAATGAGGTATGACCTGCAAAAATACCATAGAAGGATAAAATTGGCCATCTACTACAAAGATGATGTTGGTAAAAATGTAAATAATGAGAACTTACCTTTCATGCCTGAATCCGACTGGTCTCCTCCAATCGCTTCTCTTCCTCCTGAGGTGGACAAATTAATTTCAAAGGACCTAAACTATTTGGATTATGATTTTAAATTTAATAAAACTACACCTAACCTAAATTTGAATGAGAGAAAAGCTCTAAAGGAACTAATGATCAATAAAAACATCATTATAAAACCTGCTGACAAAGGAAGCTCTATTGTCATTCTGGACAGAGAGCAGTACCTGTGGGAGGGATACAAACAATTACACAATGAAACCTATTATAAAAAATTAGATTCTCCAATTTATCCTGATACGGCCCCCCTAATATCCAAAATTTTAGAAAATCTTCATAAAAAGAAATTTATTAACGCTAAACAAAAAACTTACCTGCGTGGTTCTCCTGAACCAAGGGCCAGACGGTTTTACCTGCTCCCTAAGATCCATAAAGAGCCCGGAAAATGGAGCAAACCGTTCGAAATCCCTCCTGGTAGGCCCATTGTCTCCGATTGTGGGAGTGAGACCTACCAAACAGCAGAATTTATTGATCATTATTTGTATCCTCTATCAATTCGGCACCAAAGTTACATCAAAGACACATATGATTTTGTGGAAAAAGTCAAATTAATTTCTCTACCTCAGGACTCTATTTTATTTACAATTGACATAGACAGTTTGTACACAAATATTGATATAGATGAAGGAATTGGCTGCATTAAAAACATATTTTTGAAATATCCAGATTCGAGGAGGCCAGATCGAGAACTTATACAGTTGCTGGAAATAAATTTAAAACGCAACGATTTTGTGTTTGATGGCCAATTTTTCCTGCAGGTCAAGGGCACGGCCATGGGCAAAAAGTTTGCACCGGCATATGCAAACATTTTTATGGCCGAGTGGGAAGCGGGTGCCCTTAATACGTGCGGAAAGGCACCTCTGCACTATTATCGGTACCTGGATGACATCTGGGGGGTCTGGACCCATTCTGAAGCCGAATTTCAGGAATTCCTCCAGCACCTAAATACACATAATCCATCCATTACAGTAAAGTCCACTACCAGCGTTAAAGCGGTCGACTTCCTGGACACCACCACATATAAAGGACAAAATTTTGACACGACACACAAATTGGACATTAAAGTTTTTTTCAAACCTACAGATACACATGCTCTATTATTTAAGACCAGCTACCATCCGAGGCACACGTATGCTGGTCTTATAAAATCACAACTCCTCAGATTCCATAGAATTTGCTCACAGAAAACAGACTTTGAGGAGGCAACTAGGATTCTGTTTTCTGCTTTAAGTAAGAGAGGATATTCCAGATCTTTCCTGAGAGCATGCAGGAAGAACTTCCTTGAGTCCAGACCCCCGATTCATCACCTATGATCCCCCTGATCACTACATTCTCCTCCTCAGCCGGACAATTTGTGCATAACATCAAGCAGAATTTCACTAAATTCCAATCTGAAACGTCTTTGCTACAAAATCACAGAATAATTGCGGCCTACAAAAGAAACAAGAACCTGAGGGATTTCCTCATCCGTGCTGAGGTTCGACCTTTGAATGCACCAAAGGTCAGAGGTCAGGGTGGATTCTTCAAGCAGCTGCACTGGGTACAAAACAGATTTAAAAACACAATTTTCAAATTAGACCCATCAGGAAACCCCAAATCAAAAAATTGTGTTTATTTAATTACCTGCCAAATTTGTAAGATCCAGTATGTGGGTGAGACGGGTAACAGCCTCCTTACTCGTTTCACCCAACATAGATATAACATTCAAAAACTAAAAAAGACTCACGTACCCTTAGTGCAGCACTTCATCCGCCATGGCTGGGATGCACTTTCAGCCTCGGTGCTGGAGTGCGACCCAGCCTGGTCTTCAGCCCAGAGGAGAAGGGCTGAAAGATTATGGATCCAAAAGCTGGAGACTCGGATCCCTAGGGGTCTGAACGAGAGATAGGCCTCGCGTAGAGGCTCCCAGCAGAACGTGCCCGTGCACACAGGGGCCGGGGAAGAGGGTGAGGGGGAGAAGGAAGGGGGTTAAACTTGTTTGACCTCTGACCTTTAACCCTGAACCCAAACCCTGACCCCAACCCAAACCCCAATCCTTACCTGCCAGTGCCTTCTGCTTGGGATGTCCAGCGTTGTCCTTCCTCTCAGTGAGGACCACGATGGTGATCCTGCTCCTGTGGAATAACAAAAAGAACATATTAATCCTCTAAAAACACCTAAATTCCTAGATTAATGCCTAAACCTAACCACCTACCTTCAACAACAATTGATCCCCATTTTTCATTGACTATTAGTCATTGATTATTAATATTGCAATTTGATTTTATGCCCTTCCCCTACCAGTTTACCCTAAACCTAACCTCCGAGAACCCTTGCCTAAACCTAACCACCTTTCCTCTATTAATAACCCTACCATTTGTAACTCCAATTAATCCCCACCACTTACCAAAATTCACTGTGCATCAGTAAAACACTCCTGTAAATATATATACTGTAAACATTGTATTATATTATAAAGGCTACTCACAGCCAATACTCTTGTAAATACCTGTAAATAATGTAATTTTTGTAAATACTGTAAATATATTTTTTTTCCTGTATTATATTGTGTGTATTCTATATACAGTATTCCTTATGTATATTTGTTCATTGTAGTTTAAATGAAAACTGTTCAGGTTGCAATATCCTGTTCTGCCAGCAGAGGGAGGCAGCGCAGGTAAACAAGATCAGCTGTTCCACTGCGCCCCTCCCCTCCTGTGTACGCATGACGTTGCAGCCTGTACCTAACGGGCCAATCAGAGCCCACTGGCTTGTAAATTGTTATTTGGTTCGAAATTTGAAACCGGTGTGCTATATATAGTGTTTTTCTAACTGATCTCGTCAGTTGAGACAGCAGACGGCCTGAAGAAGGTTGATTCCGACCGAAACGTCGCGTCTCGTTTGCTGTCTTTGTTCATCTGTTCGTTCGTTATTAAATTGCCAGACGGCAAAAAACGAAGTTCAGTTTCTTCTCTTTTTTAATTTTAGCACACTTTTATTTTACAAGTCAGTTTAGTTTAATAATTTTTATAATTTTTATTTTTTTCTAAAAACGTTTTCCCATGACTTGGGATTTTTACGAGGAGCCAGATGATGGCTGGACCACGGTCCAGTACTACCGCGGCAGGCAGCGCACCTGGCAGCCGAGAAGCCGCGATCGCTACGCGCAACGGGGCTCACAAAACAACCGGGGCCCTCCACCACAGAACCGGAGACGCACCTACGCCTCCGTGACCCGAGACCGCACGGTGAGCCGCAACAGGGGCTCAGGACCCCCCCGGAACCGCTTCCAGCAGCAACAACGGCCCCGCCCACGCTCCCGCAGCTGGAACCGAGCGCAGCGCCGCGCTGGAGGGGAAATCAGCGTCAACAGCGGCAGCAGCAGCAGCAGCAGCGATTCGCACCCCGGAGGCGCAACAACGGGCCGAACCGCTCCGAGTACCAGCAATCTGATGACCCGCTCTTCACAGTCAAGGTCAGAGCTTTACACAGACTGCTGAAGGCCATGCATCACCTGGCCAACGTGGCGTGGGATGACCGCAATCCGCCTGCCATCCAGCGGATTGCGGATAACCTGGCTGCCACCATCAAGCCGGCCCTCCCCAGCCCCAAAACGATGGACCTCATTGATGGGAATGCCAGAGAGTGGGCGTGGAACACCATCCTCATCCTCCGGCAGCACTATGAGGATGTGCTCGAGGCTGAGAAGCGGTCCCTCCTGGGCCCTCGGCGGCGACCTTCTGGCTCCTCTTGAGGTGGCGGTCAAGTGGGCTAGACGCAACCTGGGCAGGAGGTTCGACCCAGAAACCGCTGATGAGGTCCAGACTTACCTGGCGATGAGTGAAGATGAGGAAGCCTCTTCATCCTCCTCTGCCTCCTCTCGCTCCTCCGACTCTCCTCCACGTCCCTGCCCGCCGGCTGCAGCTCCTCCGTCCCCACGCTCATCTGAAAGCGACGCAGAGCAGGAAGACCAGGCTGTCGACACGGCGGAGAACCTGCAGGACCCCTCCCACCCCCTCGACCACACTCAAGAACCTCACCTCCTGCTGTGCCCCCTCCCTCTGCATCCCCCCGCCCCGTCATGGCCTCCGCAGCCACCATGACGGATCCTCTTCACGGCGGGTGGACACCTCCGGCTCAGATGTTGAGGACAGCGGGAGAACGTCGCCCCCCACTCTACCTGCTGAGATCATCGCTCCACTCCCTCAGCGTCAGCAGAGATCCTCCAGCTCTTCAGGGACGACCACCTCTGCATCTCAGACGGCTCCTCCGGCGACCTCTCCAGCTGTTCCTCCTCCTCTTCCTCCAGCTGCTCCTCCGGCAGCTCCTCCCTCCTCTTCTCTCCTCCCTCAGGGGGAAGGGCAGCAGATTCTGCCACTGATGAGGTGCTCAGCGGCATCTCTGACCTCATCCAGGAGGAGGTGAGCAGACATCGGTCTGCAAGAGTAATCCCGCCTTCTCCCTCCCAGGCCTCCAGAGCCACACGACCCTCGCTGAGGCCGAGGATGGCCCCCCTCTGCCGCCGACTACAGATCAGCACGCAGCGGAGACTCACCTTCAGCAGCAGGGTGACGACACCGGCTCCAGCTGCGTCCTCCGGCACCAGGGGGCCCACCGCTCCTACACAGGCACAGATCACAGTTGCGGCTAGACAGGTGGGGAGCCTCAACAAAACCAGGAACTGGTCACTTGACCTCAACAAAAAATATGTCATCCTGGGTGACTCAAATGTGGCCAAGTTTCCGGCCTGGAATAACCCCA